AAGGAAAACTTGAAATCGCATCATATGACCCCTTTAAAATAAACCCTGTGGTTAGTAATGGTAGTTCACCGTGCTATTTGTAAACATGGCAAAAACTGTTGCTCGTGAGAGGAGTCCTCCATTAATCAGATACAACCGTGCAACAGAAATAGAGCTTTGCCCTTCTCGTTGCCCTTTCGTATCTCAATAGCACACAGCAGGACAACTGGTTAACACCATTGTTGTTCTACATTCATTTTGGTTTTGATCTACTGCCTGCATGAGCTGTATAGGAGGCACGGGGGAAATATGACACAGATCTAAGTGGTCTTAGATCACGTCTTACCAGCTGAAGTGAGGAGGCCATGATAGTCTGTGCCTCTCTGTGTGGGAACATCTTCATTCATTTCTTCTTTCTCTAATTCCTCATAACGGTCCCAGTTGGGCTCAAGCTTTCGTCTAGAGAAGGTGTTGTCCTCCTCCTCTTGCTCAATGTTTTCTTTGTTCTCACTGTCATCTTGATTCTGGAAAGCGATCAGAAAAAGGATGACAGTGAGCAAGCATAACATAATCCATTTGTTTTATTAGATTCGTGAAAACCTTAAAAGTTAACCACAGTCAACATATTGTTACTACATTAATACCATAAATTAATTATTTATAACATTAACCTCATTAAAACAGTGAGTCTCTCTGAATGCTTGTCACTTTATTTTCATATATTTTATATTTATTTTTATGTCATCTGTGTCTAATGCCAGAGTTTTATAGTAAAAATAACAATAATTATTTGATCCAATGTATTACCAGTGACTATGGTATTTCTGTAGAAACTATGGTTGCCATGGAGATTTTTATGGGTGACACTCACTCGTCGAAAGTCTCTAAAGTCTGCAGGAGGTCCAAAATCTCGCCCTCTTCCTCTACGATGATCCCGTTTGCCTTTTCCACGATGGTGGTGTCCTCCTCTTCCGCGACCCCTGTGCTCTCCCGAACTGCCGGACTCAGCACCACCTCCACATCCACCTCCTCTTTTCCAATGCCCACCGCGTCCACGTCTGCCTTCCATAACTGGACATGAAAATTAGAACTAATGCCGAGACTGTAATCGTGTAACACCACAACAGCTGTTACACTTAAAAGAGAACCCTCGTCAATGGGGAAACGTTCCGCCCGTTCAACTAGTTCCGCCTAATGGTAAATGCTAGTTTATCAATTGAAAAATGTGCATCAGATCCAAAGTGCTGAGGGAAAACTGTATGAGTATGACTAGTATCAAAAGCAGTAGGACCAGCGGTGTGTGGGGCATGTGAGATCTGACTCGATGCTCATGCAGTCCTGTCATTCCTTTGCGTAAGGGAATGTAAATGACAGTTATTATATATTTGAAGGATGAACTCTTTGACTTAGGACATATTGACATATTGAAAGAAAAAATACTTCAAAAATTAAAAACTAAAATTAGTAATTATTCAAACTTAAATTAAAAAATATTAAAACTTTTTTTTCCCTTTTTCTTTTTTTTTTTATAATTACTAATTTATGTCAAGTCACCACGGGTGAATAAGGTCAAAACAAAGCGAATAGATATCACTATAATTCACTAGTTGATTAATCACAGTACATTAGTACAAAATATTTTTGTATTACATGTTTTTCTTTTTAATGAAATACGCAAACGAGGCGCTATTTAATTATATATGGACTAATTTGCATATATTTCTGAAATCTATGAAATATCAACATGGAATAAGGCCAGGTTCAAAAATCCTTGTTTAATTTTCTTGACATATTAGAGTTAAAGGTTTTTACAAAGGGGAATTTGGATATCCATTTTTATCTCTCTGAATTATATATAAACAAACCCCTTTGTAAAAACCTTAAAAACATTAAGAAGAATAAAACAGGAAGGTTTGGTTTATGTAAATGCTACTGAAGTGGAGATTTTTGGCCTTTAAAGGTAGATATTTATAATTGAAAACTAGAGATGCAAATACATAAAAAGTAATAAAAATTAGCACTTAAATGTGTATTTTGGATGTTTTCTTGTTATGGAAACAATATAATAGTGCTGAATAGCCCAAAATATCAAAATTGACCAGTGCATGAAAAACTAAGTTTTTGCCTGTAGTGTTTTGCCTTTAGAATCCCAAGTTTAATTGTAAAGCTTGTGATGTGATGTTTATTTAGCCTGTATTTGTTTATAGGTGTCACACGCAAAACATGCATGTTTTGTTCAAATTTTCCTATTTTTGAAGTGTTCATTCTCTTTATTGTGTTTTCAGACTATCCATTGCCAAGTGAACATGAAGAATACAGTGAAAATTTCATCCAGAGTTTTCTAACCGATCAGCGGTAACGGGATGAACATGGATATTCAAAATTTAACCGCAAGTGGAAATGTCTCCGCTATCTTGCCTGCCCCATACAGTCTGTTGGAAGTTATAACCATTGCAACAGTATCAGCTGTCGTGAGTCTAATCACAATATTGGGGAATGTGCTGGTGATGCTCTCTTTCAAGGTCAACAGCCAACTTAAGACTGTTAACAACTACTACTTACTCAGTTTAGCTTTTGCAGACCTCATTATCGGCGTGTTCTCAATGAACCTGTACACATCCTACATTCTCATGGGATACTGGTCTTTAGGGAATATAGCTTGTGATCTGTGGTTGGCTCTTGACTATGTTGCAAGTAATGCATCGGTGATGAACTTGCTGGTCATCAGCTTTGACAGATATTTTTCTATTACAAGACCACTTACCTACAGGGCTAAACGGACCCCGAAACGTGCAGGCATCATGATTGGCTTGGCGTGGTTGATATCGTTTATATTATGGGCTCCACCCATTCTGTGCTGGCAGTACTTTATTGGAGAGAGGACGGTTCCTACTGACCAATGCCAGATCCAGTTTTTCTCAGAACCCATAATCACATTTGGTACAGCCATAGCGGCCTTTTATGTACCGGTATCCATCATGACAATCTTATATTGCAAAATCTACAAAGAAACAGAAAAACGTACTAAGAACTTAGCAGAACTCCAAGGATATCCATCGCTGGACAGCCATGAAGACCCTAAAGTACGAAAGCCAATACTACGATGCTTTAGCTTTAAAAACAAGAGGGACGGGACTCAAGCATCATGGTCTTCGTCCAACCAGAGTTACGTAACTAGGACAACATTGCAGTCTGAGGACTTGTGGACAAAATCAGACCAGGTCAGCACCCTGAACAGTTACACATCATCAGAGGATGACGAGCGGTCAGTCTCTGAGACAACCCCACGAGAATCATTCAAGAACCAAGAATCGACAGCCAATAGAAATGGACAGCTGCTCTGTTATGAAGACAGCAAATATCTAAGTGATCTTGCAAAATGCTCCCAGACAAACAATAAAAAATGTATGTCATACAAGTTCAAGCCAATCCTTAGCGACATCACTGCTTTGCAAGGTAGTACCGAAGCCGATAGAATAAACACAGATCATTGTCAGTCCTCAGAGCCACAGGCTCCTTCATCCACATCCTCTTCTACCAAACCAGAAGATCCAAACTTGAAGATCCAGATGACCAAGCGGAAACGAATGGTCCTTATCAAGGAGAAAAAGGCTGCTCAGACTCTCAGCGCCATTCTTCTGGTGTTCCTCCTCACTTGGACCCCGTACAACATCATGGTGCTCATCTCCACCTTCTGTTCTGAATGCATCCCAGTGTCCCTCTGGCATCTGGGTTACTGGCTCTGCTATGTCAACAGCACCATCAACCCCATGTGTTATGCCCTATGCAACAAGACCTTCCAGAAGACCTTTTGGATGTTAGTCCTCTGCAAGTGGAAGAAGAATAGAGGAGAGGAGAAACTGTACTGGTGTGGTCAAAACCATTAAATACTGAAGTAACACAACGGAAGTGGCCGATTTTAGAGCATTCTGAATGATCAAGATAGCTATATTAAATGGGCACTAAAATTACATTTCAGGTTATGTTGTGCATACAGTGCCACAGACCATATTCCTTTATTATTCCTTACAATTTTCTAGGTCATATTTTTTGTGTACATTTTGTTTATATTGCTATATTGATTTGGAAAATGATATAATTTATTAATATTTAATGTAGCTTCTAATCTGCTTTCATTTAACATGTTTACACAACAGTGTATTTTAATATTGTGAAATGTCTAGGGCTAGGGATGGTGAGGACAATAAATAAAGATATGGAATGTGAACTTTTAAATTATTATAAATCAAACATACAGTGTTTATTACAAGGTTAACTTTTTGTGATAAAATGATTTTCATGTATTGTACGGCTTGGTCATGTCAGTGACAATGCATGCATACAAACTTAAACATATTGAAATGGTGTGCAAAGCAATGTTGTTGTATTATTATTATCATGTTTGCAGAACTGGACAATGTTAGATATAGATTTTAAGATTTTGGAGCTGCCAAACCATCACTGTCTACTAGAGAGATACACACAAAAAGGTTGTAGCATCACTCTGGATGAAATATTAATTTATATGGCATTCATTTAGATTCCAACACTGAAAACACATTTGACATTTCTACAGCATCCCGAATGTGTACTGGTCCATATTAAATACAAAAAATCTTTGTGGTGCCAAGAATTAGATGAACTCACTTGAACATTAACACATCATATAAACACAGTTATGAATGTTGCCTGGCTGTTTTCCATTCATATTGTTTAACAAGTCTCTACTCTCGTGATGACGTACCATTTAATTTGATGTGAAATAAATGTTTTAACATGAGATTAACCCAACTAATTGAAACATCAGTCTGGATTTGGCAGGGGTTCCATCTTCCATTAATTTCTTGAGTAAAACTAAAGCTACAACAACTACCCACTGATATACTAGCAACTGTTTACCAGTCACTTATCATGAAATGTGGTTTAAATGTTGATCTCCACACATTTTACCATGCAAGCATCATGCTGAGAACAGTAGACATATAAGACGGATATTTTCCACCAGTTTATTTCCATTCAGTTTAAATAAGATTATACTTCATAGCTTAAATCTTGTGCATTTCTCATCTTCATTCACAGTCTTGTACAAACCCAACAAGATATAGTAAATATTATAACCTAAAAACTTTATTTCAAGTAGTTATGAAACAGAATTGGGGTCAATGTCACCTCCTTGGGTTGGTATGGAAATACACATGGTATCACTGCAAAAATGGACCCTCATTATATATTTTTCATCTATCTTGACCTTTAAGCTCAAGTGTGCTTTTAAAATATCCCAGAATGCTTGTGACAAAATGAGTAAAACAAATACATACAGTGAGTACTAAATTCTGAATCTGACTTAATCAGTACAGCCGTACTGCAGCTGTTGCATCAACCCAAAGCACTCAACAGCCAACCAACAACGTTATGCTGAATTGTACTTAAAGCTTTTATTACTACTTCGCTTTTATTCAAGTTATAACTGAGGTGAAACTGTATTATTAACCTCAATTCTGAGAAGGAATCATACCTGTGTGACGAATCTTTTGCACAGCAGCAGTAAAAGCATAGACTACCATCACATTAATTGCATTACAAGATATTGAAATGTTTTAGCAAAACTGACTATCTTTTAACTGTTCAATCAAATACTTTACTTTCTCACTCATTCTAAATTTAAAGTTAAAACATCTTAGCTACGTTCTATAAAAAAAAAATTAAAAAAAATGAATTCATGCCTTGCTCGATCTGTACTGGTTTTATCCATTACTAAATTTTACGTATAGGCTAGTTTTCAGAGTATCATTACAATGACTAAAATGATCTGATTATTAACAATGTATCCAAAGAAGACAATTAAGTATGGAAAAGTAGCACAGTGCAAACACAGTCTTGTTTTGTCAAGCATTTCAGTTGAAAAAGAAACTGTTCATACATACATATATATATATATATATAAAATATGAAAACCAGTAAAACAGTGTTAAAGAAAACCGACAAAATACACGGCACTACCTCCTCTTCAGAGCAACACTTCTGCTGCCTTTGTTGCCTCCTCCAGACTTACTGGAGCCCTTGGAGAACAATTTTGTCATAAATTCAGAAACATCTGGCAATTCTGGGTTAGGGTTCAACATATTCATAGATTGCTCCATTTCCTGCAGGAAAAAAAGGCATTAAATTGTATAAATAAAGCAACATACAGTGGATGAGAATGTCTGTACCTACTTGTAGGTACTACATGCTATGTTTTTTATTACCTTTCTCATCTCAGGATCATTAGTATTTACCACCTTTGGGAGCAGGACAATGATTAATAAGGGAAGAACCATCATCATGACCTAAGGACAACAAAATATTTTAAAACACAAGCCACGAGATCGATTAGAAACCATCAACAACACTTATGCCATAGCTAAAATACATTATTATAAACAGCTCTGAAAATGCATCTTTGTAATGCTTAAGTTAATCTAAAGTAGAGGATATAAAAATTCTAGTTAAAGAATAAGTAAACCTAAAATAAACAATGACTGCTTAATCTCCAGTAAATAAAGTGCAACCACATACATCTGAAAGAATCGAACACACAGAAACCATTATATGACTGTACCATTGGGTTCATCAGAAAATCAGTCCAGCCCCAAGTTTCCCGCTTCATGAAGTATGTGTGTGGACCACTGGATCTGATCTGAAGAGGGTACGGCTGTCGAATAACTTCAGATGTTTTGATGTAATTCACCAAGCGTGCCCTATGGTTCAATAACATTGTGAGATTAATTTAGATGTTTACGAAAAGAACTGTTAGAAGAAGGTAGAATAAATTGGGAATGTTAGCCACCTCATTTTCCCTTTGGAGGTAATGTCCACCCGAATAGGATCAAATCTGAAAGACGATGATACGATTTCAACCACATATGAGCCAGAGGGCACATCGTTGACAGCAAAGCTCCCATCAGTCCTGCGAGGGAAATTGATGTGGTTAATTCTGTCATCTTGGCAAAACGTTTAAAGGCTTGTTATAAAACCACTGCCCATCTAATCTGAATTACAATGCCCTGCAATGATATTACATACAACCTACACATTTTTCACAAATACATTAGAAATCGTATTTATATAACAGAAAGCTTCAAACGAGATTATTATAACTGAGATTTAAGTCATTTAATGGAGACGCTGCAGTAAATCGAAAACTGACACACACAAATTAATATTTACGTTACATCACTCTGTTTGACGTTAGCATTGCTGGTAACTCACTTGAGAAAACCAACATATTCCTCTCCTTCCACCAGGATTAGGGCTGTGGAGATCCAGTCTTGTGTTTTCACTCCGGGAACGCTCGCTCGCCCTTCGATTTTGAAACGGTCTCCATTCGACTGAGAACCTGCTACAGGCCCCGGCTCTCCGTCGGAAAAACACCATGACAACGCAAACAGAGCCTGCAACGCCACATATATATCTAATAGACGTTTCATTTGTTGCATCGTGTTTTGTCACACGATATATATGACGTTTAAAATGTACAATATTTCACTACGCGTCAACCTGGACCACGGGAATAGGACTAAAGGAAGCAAATAGTAAACGGAACTCAGAACGAACGCAGAGACCGGAAGAACATGTTACACCACGTGATTATCGGAGTTTATGGGCGGCAAACCGGATATTTAAACAGTTCGTTTTGAATGAATGACTACAGCACTGCGGTCCAGCCAAAGACTATAGAAGGGGACTTTAGTCCAGCATACATACTCCAGTTGGTTCGAGTAAATCCATACATAGGCACATACTGCTGTTTATTGCGTTACGTGTCTCCCGGTTCAGTTTGTCGCAGTGGTTCAAAAAGAACACAATAAACGCAAATTAAACATAATTTGCAATTAAATTTAACCAATCAGTCAATTTTTGACAATATCCCTTTTGATTGGGGTTGTGCCTTAACATGATTGTTATTGTCATTTTTTAAAACATATAAAATGCAAATATTCAAATAAACATCATAAAACTTTCAGTTTATGTAAATTTATTTGAAAGTTGATTAAAAGAAAATAACTATGTACACATTACACTTAAATATCCATTCATGATCAGGCAATGGACAACAACACACTAATAACTTAAAACTCCTGCAATTCAAGTGCATGACTGAAAAAAAAACACATCTCATAAAAGGTACACTTAGACAATCACATCCACTTAAGCAGATTCACACCATAGCACAAGTGCAACAGTTAAAACTTCTGCTTGGCACTTCAGTGAGTTGCCTGATTCCAGAGAGTCTCATGGAGTTGATTATGTGCCCCTAAGCAAGTCCACTTCAATGTGAAGCAGTCATTCAGTGCCTGCAGGAAGAATTCCTCCAGTGCTGAAATTGGAGTGTCTGAAACGTTCAGTTCATCTATCCCAAATTCACCACAGCCTATTGGGCTTCAGAATCACCAGCTCCAAGCCAATCAAAGAGCTTAAATACACCAAGAGTTTGTAGTGGTTATCTCCATAGTGTGCTACAATGATACATCAGCGCAGTTGTGACACATATGATTCTATGACCTGTGGACGAGAGGACAAGAAAGGAGACAAGGTAAGACTGTTTTTTGTTTTTTTTTTGTAAACAGTTGCAATTTTTCAATTCAAAGAAAAAAAAAATGTACAAAACACTCCACCTTTGCCGTTTCTCCTACAGTTCCTGGAACTGAACTTAAGTGTCTCTTCCCCTCCCACAGTTCAAGAAGCATCGTCTTCATTGCCTGAACATTCCTACAGTGAAAATTTCATCCAGAGTTTTCTAACCGATCAGCGGTAACGGGATGAACATGGATATTCAAAATTTAACCGCAAGTGGAAATGTCTCCGCTATCTTGCCTGCCCCATACAGTCTGTTGGAAGTTATAACCATTGCAACAGTATCAGCTGTCGTGAGTCTAATCACAATATTGGGGAATGTGCTGGTGATGCTCTCTTTCAAGGTCAACAGCCAACTTAAGACTGTTAACAACTACTACTTACTCAGTTTAGCTTTTGCAGACCTCATTATCGGCGTGTTCTCAATGAACCTGTACACATCCTACATTCTCATGGGATACTGGTCTTTAGGGAATATAGCTTGTGATCTGTGGTTGGCTCTTGACTATGTTGCAAGTAATGCATCGGTGATGAACTTGCTGGTCATCAGCTTTGACAGATATTTTTCTATTACAAGACCACTTACCTACAGGGCTAAACGGACCCCGAAACGTGCAGGCATCATGATTGGCTTGGCGTGGTTGATATCGTTTATATTGTGGGCTCCACCCATTCTGTGCTGGCAGTACTTTATTGGAGAGAGGACGGTTCCTACTGACCAATGCCAGATCCAGTTTTTCTCAGAACCCATAATTACATTTGGGACAGCCATAGCGGCCTTTTATGTCCCGGTATCCATCATGACAATCTTATATTGCAAAATCTACAAAGAAACAGAAAAACGCACTAAGAACTTGGCAGAACTCCAAGGATATCCATCGCTGGACAGCCATGAAGACCCTAAAGTACGAAAGCCAATACTACGATGCTTTAGCTTTAAAAACAAGAGGGACGGGACTCAAGCATCATGGTCTTCGTCCAACCAGAGTTACGTAACTAGGACAACATTGCAGTCTGAGGACTTGTGGACAAAATCAGACCAGGTCAGCACCCTGAACAGTTACACATCATCAGAGGATGACGAGCGGTCAGTCTCTGAGACAACCCCACGAGAATCATTCAAGAACCAAGAATCGACAGCCAATAGAAATGGACAGCTGCTCTGTTATGAAGACAGCAAATATCTAAGTGATCTTGCAAAATGCTCCCAGACAAACAATAAAAAATGTATGTCATACAAGTTCAAGCCAATCCTTAGCGACATCACCGCTTTGCAAGGTAGTACCGAAGCCGATAGAACAAACACAGATCATTGTCAGTCCTCAGTGCCACAGGCTCCTTCATCCACATCCTCTTCTACTAAACCAGAAGATCCAAACTTGAAGATCCAGATGACCAAGCGGAAAAGAATGGTCCTTATCAAGGAGAAAAAGGCTGCTCAGACTCTCAGCGCCATTCTTCTGGTGTTCCTCCTCACTTGGACCCCGTACAACATCATGGTGCTCATCTCCACCTTCTGTTCTGAATGCATCCCAGTGTCCCTCTGGCATCTGGGTTACTGGCTCTGCTATGTCAACAGCACCATCAACCCCATGTGTTATGCCCTATGCAACAAGACCTTCCAGAAGACCTTTTGGATGTTAGTCCTCTGCAAGTGGAAGAAGAATAGAGGAGAGGAGAAACTGTACTGGTGTGGTCAAAACCATTAAATACTGAAGTAACACAACGGAAGTGGCCGATTTTAGAGCATTCTGAATGATCAAGATAGCTATATTAAATGGGCACTAAAATTACATTTCAGGTTATGTTGTGCATACAGTGCCACAGACCATATTCCTTTATTATTCCTTACAATTTTCTAGGTCATATTTTTTGTGTACATTTTGTTTATATTGCTATATTGATTTGGAAAATGATATAATTTATTAATATTTAATGTAGCTTCTAATCTGCTTTCATTTAACATGTTTACACAACAGTGTATTTTAATATTGTGAAATGTCTAGGGCTAGGGATGGTGAGGACAATAAATAAAGATATGGAATGTGAACTTTTAAATTATTATAAATCAAACATACAGTGTTTATTACAAGGTTAACTTTTTGTGATAAAATGATTTTCATGTATTGTACGGCTTGGTCATGTCAGTGACAATGCATGCATACAAACTTAAACATATTGAAATGGTGTGCAAAGCAATGTTGTTGTATTATTATTATCATGTTTGCAGAACTGGACAATGTTAGATATAGATTTTAAGATTTTGGAGCTGCCAAACCATCACTGTCTACTAGAGAGATACACACAAAAAGGTTGTAGCATCACTCTGGATGAAATATTAATTTATATGGCATTCATTTAGATTCCAACACTGAAAACACATTTGACATTTCTACAGCATCCCGAATGTGTACTGGTCCATATTAAATACAAAAAATCTTTGTGGTGCCAAGAATTAGATGAACTCACTTGAACATTAACACATCATATAAACACAGTTATGAATGTTGCCTGGCTGTTTTCCATTCATATTGTTTAACAAGTCTCTACTCTCGTGATGACGTACCATTTAATTTGATGTGAAATAAATGTTTTAACATGAGATTAACCCAACTAATTGAAACATCAGTCTGGATTTGGCAGGGGTTCCATCTTCCATTAATTTCTTGAGTAAAACTAAAGCTACAACAACTACCCACTGATATACTAGCAACTGTTTACCAGTCACTTATCATGAAATGTGGTTTAAATGTTGATCTCCACACATTTTACCATGCAAGCATCATGCTGAGAACAGTAGACATATAAGACGGATATTTTCCACCAGTTTATTTCCATTCAGTTTAAATAAGATTATACTTCATAGCTTAAATCTTGTGCATTTCTCATCTTCATTCACAGTCTTGTACAAACCCAACAAGATATAGTAAATATTATAACCTAAAAACTTTATTTCAAGTAGTTATGAAACAGAATTGGGGTCAATGTCACCTCCTTGGGTTGGTATGGAAATACACATGGTATCACTGCAAAAATGGACCCTCATTATATATTTTTCATCTATCTTGACCTTTAAGCTCAAGTGTGCTTTTAAAATATCCCAGAATGCTTGTGACAAAATGAGTAAAACAAATACATACAGTGAGTACTAAATTCTGAATCTGACTTAATCAGTACAGCCGTACTGCAGCTGTTGCATCAACCCAAAGCACTCAACAGCCAACCAACAACGTTATGCTGAATTGTACTTAAAGCTTTTATTACTACTTCGCTTTTATTCAAGTTATAACTGAGGTGAAACTGTATTATTAACCTCAATTCTGAGAAGGAATCATACCTGTGTGACGAATCTTTTGCACAGCAGCAGTAAAAGCATAGACTACCATCACATTAATTGCATTACAAGATATTGAAATGTTTTAGCAAAACTGACTATCTTTTAACTGTTCAATCAAATACTTTACTTTCTCACTCATTCTAAATTTAAAGTTAAAACATCTTAGCTACGTTCTATAAAAAAAAAATTAAAAAAAATGAATTCATGCCTTGCTCGATCTGTACTGGTTTTATCCATTACTAAATTTTACGTATAGGCTAGTTTTCAGAGTATCATTACAATGACTAAAATGATCTGATTATTAACAATGTATCCAAAGAAGACAATTAAGTATGGAAAAGTAGCACAGTGCAAACACAGTCTTGTTTTGTCAAGCATTTCAGTTGAAAAAGAAACTGTTCATACATACATATATATATATATATATAAAATAGGAAAACCAGTAAAACAGTGTTAAAGAAAACCGACAAAATACACGGCACTACCTCCTCTTCAGAGCAACACTTCTGCTGCCTTTGTTGCCTCCTCCAGACTTACTGGAGCCCTTGGAGAACAATTTTGTCATAAATTCAGAAACATCTGGCAATTCTGGGTTAGGGTTCAACATATTCATAGATTGCTCCATTTCCTGCAGGAAAAAAAGGCATTAAA